CACAACTACACTGCAACAGTCCCCTTTTTCATTATCAAACCTCAAATAGTAGCAACATATTCAGTAAAAATAAAATGAAATAATTTACTCAAATATTATAGTAATCAAATAGTAACAGTGTTTTGGGGTATGACTTATTATTTTTCTAAATGTTTGTGGAATTCCTATAAGCTTTCAAGGTGTATAGTTTAAAATATTCTTATGTAGAGGTAAGTTACACAAACCTTATATTTGCTCTTTTAAAGTACATTTTAATAATAATCTTTAGGTGTTTTAAAGCTAGATTTAAAGGGCAAAAAATCTTGAGGGCTAGAGTCTATCCTAGAAATGTTGATTCATCTCCTTGCATTGGGGTAAGAAGGAGAAAAGGTGAAAGCTGAAAGTCAGACTGATTCTAAAAGAACCAAGTGAGTGCTTTTATTGATACCTTGCCCTTTGCAGAGTGCATCAGTGGGTAGGTGACATTTGCTTGAGGCTTAGTTACGTTTGTTACTGAAGGGATACTCTGGGTACTGGCGGAACACAAATTGATAAATGGAAAAGAGGCTTTGGTTGAATGCTGCTGTTCTTAAAATTATTAATGGATCCCAGTTTTTAGAACTGCAGTCTAGTTAGTAAATACTGGTTGAGAATATATTTCCATCGAGATTAATGGTGTTTTCCGGTAGTGATCAAGGCAGGTATTCTCTGCAACTGTAGTTTTAGCTGACTCTAACTGAAGGTACACTTAGTTTGAAATTTTTTTTCTTATTTTCAGTATATCTTTATGCATGTCTGTTAAATTTATGTTTTCCCTTTAGTGCTGTTCAACTTTTCTATTCAGTGAGGAATATCTTCCATTTGTTCCATGATGTTGTACCAACATATCACAAGTAAGTGCCACTGTATCTCATTTATATATGTCTAAAATGTTTGTAATTTAAGTTAAAACCAGTAATTTTATATTCTCCCCAAAGATGTTTTGGTTACTAAAATTCACAATAAAATGCAATAATCCGTTTAAAAACACATATTCATAGGACTTGGTCATTTGTTACTAAATTAATAAGGATACCATAATCTTGCTATATGGTGAGTGATGCAGATTTAAAAACTCAAAAGAACTTTACCCTGTTTTGTTGCTGGGCATTTTCAGAAGTGCATTGCTTTACTTGGTTAAAAAACAAAAAGGGCATCACTCCATGCTGCTATCCAGTAAACGTACCACATTTTCCCTTGGTATTCATAGCTCTGCAGACTTAATACCACAAGAGATTGCTATTTAACTGTCAAGTATGATCAGCTACTCTTCCTAGCTATTTTAGACAGTATTTACCTGACATCTTGGGTTTTAAAAGTTTTTTTTAATGTTAATCTGAAATAAGTCTCTAGGAGTTACCTTTGTTATTTGGATTAAGTGTTTTGGATGCCTATACATCTTTTTGATAATATGTCAGCAGAGCTATTCCTTAGCTGAGGACTCTGCTTTCAAAGATAAAAATCAGTTATTATTTGAAGTATTTTTTAGTTCAGACTTTTGAACAATTGAGATGTTTTTAACTAGGCCCACCTGTTTTTACTCTAAAAGAGCTTATTTATTGTGAACCGTATTGTTTTTATTTGTATTCCTTCTCTTTGCTGTGGTTTAAAATTTTTATTTCATTTTCTACTTAAGTAAAGGAAAAGAGAAAACATATTTGGGTCAGCTGACTGTGGCTCAGAAACATTTTTCACACTGTTGTGGAGTTAGATTTGCCTCTTTCTCCTTTGTATGATCTCAGAACTTATACTGGACCAAAAGTTCACAAACTTTAGTGTGTATTAGAATCATCTGGAAGCTTTGTTAAAACACTGATTGCTGGATCCATGCCCAAGGTTT